CAGGATGGAAGAGCGGCTCCCCCCACTTAATGGCCGTGTGATTGGGGAAGTCACCCAGCCTCTCGGGGCCTCAGCTTCCCTCTGCAAAATGGAATAAAGATGATGCCTGATCTCAAGGAAGCTGTGAGGGGAAATAAAATGCTCAGTACTGAGGCAGGACGGCACAGTGGTGAGCAGGGGCTGCCCCGGCGGGAACGCTCCTCTCCACCAAGATGCTGGGTGACTGCATGGCTGGCTTAACTTCTCTGGCCTCTCTTTCCTTCTCCGCAAAATGGAGATCATCGTGCCCACCTCATGGGAGGATTCAATGAAAGAAAAAGCTCTTAGAACAGGGCATAGCACCTGGAAACCCCCCAAGAGCCCTGGAAGGGTTCCTGACTTTTCACTCCAGGCCTGACCTACAGCAAGTCCCCAGGGCTGCAACAGTGGCAGACATGAAGGCCAGCATCCCAGTATCAGAAGACAGGAGTCCCATTGGCCCCCTGGGCTGGTGGGCCCTCCCAGACCACAAGTCAAGCACAAACAGCCGGCGTTATGGGCTTTCCCCAGACAGGCTGGGACTCAGGGTCACCAGCTGGTAACTTCAGAGCAGTTCCCTGGGGTTACAGACCACAGTTTCCATGGGAGAAAAAGTTTCTCTCTTCTTCCTCTTCCCCCAGCCAACAGCTGGCCTGGGGAAGCCTAATCACCAGCCTCCACGGCCCAGAGTGGGAAGAGCAGGCTGCAGTGGATGTCGATGTGAATCCAGCAGCAGGCCAGGTGGGCACCAGGGACAGGCTGCTGCTGAAATGTCCCTGGGCTCTAGTCTACAAGCCCCGTGATCCCGCATGTGGGTGGCAGAGCCCAGGGGCCCCAAGCTGGGGCCACCTCCTCTACCTGTCCACCGTGTAGTAAAGGAAGATGATGCATAAGATGCATCCGGTAGTTAACTGCTTGGATTTACCCAGCACACCCGCAAGCTCTCAAAGGACAGGGACCACGGCTGTCCTGTTCCCACCTGCATACCCAAAGCCCACAGTGGTCTCGTACCCAAATATTTCCTGAAAAGACTGATCTTATCTGGGGGCGCCTGGGTGGCTCAGTCGTTAAGCGTCTGCCTTCGGCTCGGGTCATGATCCCAGGGTCCTGGAATCGAGCCCCGCATCGGGCTCTCTGCTCTGCGGGAAGCCTGCTTCTCCCTCTCCCACTCCCCCTGCTTGTGTTCCCTCTCTCGCTGTCTCTCTCTCTGTCAAATAAATAATTAAAAAAAAAAAAATTAAAAGACTGATCTTATCTGCAAAGTGCCCAGAGCTGGGCACCTGGCACACGGCAGGTGCCCCCTGACACTCAGGATGACCGTGGCTCCAGGCCTCCAGGGATCCTGGCACCTGTGACCCTTCTAGAACACAGCATGTAGTCCAAACAGGGAAAGATGTGAAAAGCTGGATATAACAGAAACCACGTGATTCAAGCACAGAATCCAAATTAGCATTTTCTGCACACCTACTATGCATCGGTCGGTGCCCAGAGACAGTGGCTAAGCACCTTATTCACTACTTAGAGCGAGCCTGGGGCATAAGCCCCATTGCCCTCATTCTCTGGCTGAGGAACAGGCTTAGGGACGTGAAGCAGCTTTCCCAGTGCTACCTGCCTGTGAGTGAACCAAAACTTGAACACAGGACTTCTGGACTCCAGAGCCTGCCTCCCAGGCTGCTCCCGACTACACAGAAGAATCGTGCATAGAACCAGCAGGCCCCGATTCATCCTGCCACTGCAGCGAGGCTGGTTCCAAGCCGCCCAGAGGAATGGCTCCTGCCCTCCTCCCATCCCCACCCCTGCTACCACTTTCCTCGCCCCTGGTGACTCCTTCTTGGGCCCAGCTTAGGGGATAGCTAGCTCCCTCTGCCCCTAAAGCATCCTCGGGGCCACCGGCCAGCCCCAGATCACTGTGAGGCCACCACCAGAGAGGAACTGAAAAGAAAAAATGAGCGAGAGTGGGTGGTCCAGGGTCAGGAGTCAGACCCTCCCAGGCGCTGCGTCCCACCGTCCAGGTTCCTATAAACCTCTGCCCACATCGGCCTCGCTTTTCTGTGGCCACTGTACACACCTAAACGGGCAGCAACCACATGGCTCCCTTTCCACACCCCACTCCTCAAAGGAGGCGAGGGGAGGGCAGAGGAAGCGGTGCAGGAAGTAACTCGTGGTTTCCAAGGGCAACACCTGGACACACATCCGCAGAGACACAAAGGGAGAAGGAGCTTTGCACAGGGACGCAGGAAGCCCGGCCTGTTCCTGAGGGCAAGAGGAGGCAAGCACGGGGCCGGAAGCTCCCAGCATATGGCTCCGATCTGAGCTGAGCCCTGGGGAACGTCCTGGAGCCTCCGCCTGGAGGAGGAAGGTGACTAACTGCAGCAGGAAGCTGGGGCCTGCCAGGTAGGGGTCCACAGAGCCTGCAAGCTGCCCGGGCCCAGCCCTGGCAAGATAGCAGCGTTTTGAAGCTGCCCCACTCCGGACCTCCCCAGGGGGCTGAGCCATCCAGACAGAGTCCTGCAGGGAGCTAGATCCCATTTCCCATGGCCACTTCTCTGAGAAGCGCCAGGTCCCGGGACAAAACCAAGGGAGGGACGGCAAGCCTTGGGGTCCACCCCACCCAGTCCTGCCAAACTCAAGGTTTTGAGGAAACGCAGAGGTGAGTGGTCCTTACACATGGCTGCCTGAATGGCTGCTGCCAAGAAGGGCATCTCCCTTCTTTGGTTTCCGGCCGAGCCCTGGACAGCGGGCAGCGCCCGCACAAGGATCCACATGAAGTGGCCGGTGGAGGGTGGCAGCTGGGGCCCCATCAGGGCCCACATCTGCAAAGTGGGGACTCTGCCACCCACCTTCTGGGACTAGAGAAGACAACTCACGGCACGGTACCTCCTCCCCGGAAAGCTTGGCAGGGCCACGGCCGGCCTCTCCCTCCACATCCCAGCCCCCGCTGCATCTGGGCTCCGGCCCCTGAGGAACCGAAACCCCTGGTGTGCCTGCCGCCCCGAGTCCCCATGCTCGCCCTGAGTGCACACGGGAGAGGAAGTGGGCTGCTGGAGTTACGATGCACGGCTGTGGGGGGGCCCCGGGGTTCCGGACTCCGGGCCTGTGTTTGGACCGCTCATGAACACAGTATTGAAAAATGCTAGGCAGGGCAGGGCCCCGTCCCGGCTCTTCAGACTTGGAGCAGGTTCTGCTCTGGTGGGGGACACACCGCCCTCCCGGGATCCCACTGCATAGATATCATCTCTCCCCCAGTGTATCCAAATAGGTCATCTGATACAGATTCCCAGGATCTGGAGAAGAACACCCCTTCTTTCAGTGGCCCAGGCCTGGCCCCAGGGGCCAAGCTCCCACCCAAGTACAGTGTGACCTTTACCCCACAAGTCAAGCTACCTGAGCATGATCTCTGCTCCCCAGAGCCTTCCAACAGGTGTGCTGACGTGTCGGATGGACCTTGAGGGGGTGGCCTGAACCCCAGGCCTGGGTCCCTCTGTGACCTTAGTGAAGGGAAAAAATTCACTTGCCTGGTCTGCCCTTCATGTGAAAGAAGGGATCAGCAATTCCTGACCTGGCGAGCTCCCAGGAATCACCCAGAGAAGGTTGGAAAATTCTGATTCCCATGTCCTGTGCCGGTCTTTGAAATGTCCATGTTTTAGAACCAGACCCTGAATTTGGGGAAGAGCCAGGTAGCTGTGATCGGCAGACCCTGGAGACTCTCATCTAGGAACTCTGAGGTAGCTGTGTGATCTCAAATGGAGCCCATATTTTCAGGATGAACCATGGTGGCAGAGTATTCCAGCCTGGGTAGGCCCCCCACCGTCTACTTGGGGGCAGCATGGGGATGAGGGACTGGACAGCCTCTCTCCCCGCAGAGCCATCTCTTAAATTATGTGCTCTGTGAGCCTGATGTTAAACACAGAATTCTTTTCAGAAAAACATCAAGTTCTGGACTTGAAAATCCTGGAATTCTGGGGCCTGTCCAGATGGCAGGACACCAAGACAAAAACTCTGAGACCGAGGCCTTTCTCTCCCACCTAGGACTCAAAGGCCCACACAGAAAGTTGGTTAAAGAGGAGGGTACACTGCAGGTGTCTGGGATTCCTCTCGCATGTGAACTCACTGGACAGATACCTGCTAATCACCTACCGTATGTCAGGCAGAAGTGAAATAGACAAAGATCCCTGCCCTTTGTGGAGGTGACATTTTAGCTGGGGGAGACACACAAGAGAAAAAAATACATAAAATATTTCAAACAGGGTGGTCAGGGATGGCCACCCTGAGAAGGTGACATTTAAGCAGGGACCTGAAGCAGGGGAGGGAGTGAGCCATGTGGACCACTGGGGAAGGTGCATTCCAGCGACAGGCAAGTGCAAAGGTCCTGAGGCAGGGCATACCTGGTGTGTTCTAAGGACAGTGAAGGGGCCAGTGTGGCTGGAGAAGAGGGCACGAGAAGAAGAGCAGAAGTTGAGGTCAGCAAGAAGCCAGCAGTCAGAGGACACTAGGCTGCAGAGGTCACACTCCAGTGAGATGGAAGGAGCTGAGGGCTTACGTACGGGTAGGAGATGTTGTCAAATGAAGAAGGTGTAACTGTCTATGGGTAATTTGTGGCCTTAGAATATCCTGTCGGCAAATGTCTGGTTGGAGAGTCTAACCAGGTCCATAAAATTAACAGTGGTGGTTGCTTTTTCTTACTGCAAAAGAAAGACCAGTTGCCCTGGGCATTTAAGTGCAATCACTAGGGGTTACTGGTCCCCATGTCTCCAGCTGGCCTGCTCTCTGGTGCGCAGGCTCCCCCACATGGGGCATGCCTGCATCTGACCACGGCTCTAATCCACAGCTTGCTACTTAGGACGTATTTATCAAGTGCCTCCAAGGCATTCTGGTGACCTAACATCGACCCTTCGCACCAGCCTCCCCAGGCCCTCCTGGGTCCAGGTCTCCGTCCTGAAGACCTCAGCTCAGCCCGAGGGCCCTGCACCCCCAGAACTCACCGGGCATGGAGAAGGGGGACAGGAAGGCAGACTCGACTGGCTCCGGCTCTGGGGGTGGGGGTGGCGGCTGGGGTTGTTGTTCCTGCTCCCGCTGAGGGTCTTCGGGGTTTTCCATGGGAACATTCCCGTTCTCGATGTTTTCGTGTCTCCCGTTTTGAAGTGGCTTGCTGTTGACACCGTTAGCCGAGTTGATCAGTCTCTGCCGCTGTGTGGACGGGAGGCAAGTCAGACGCCAAGACATGTGACAAAGTGTCACACGGTGGCTTTGTTCCTTACCGGGGCATAGCCCTGAAAGGTTTCTAGAACCATTCCTGGAGATCAGTCTCCCTGAGAAATGGCCCAAGAACCTTGGACTCCATCTCAGTTTGCTCGTCTCCAGGTAGACTGATACCGGGAAGCCTTTGGGGATTGGTCAGTGCCTGCCAACCAGACCACCCAGCCCATGACTCTGGATGACAGTGACCATTCCAGATCCTTGACATTTATAAGCTGTCTGAAGATAGTCACAGGAAACGTCCTGCATCATTTTTTGAATGTTTAATTTTTTTCACATCTATTGTGCAAAAAATACACTTAAATGAGGCATATAGCTCAATGATGTGCTGCATCAAGATGTAGAACATTTCCTGCCCCTCAGAAGATTCCCTCAGGCACCTCCCTGGTTTATATGCCCCTTCTCTCTAGAGGTAACCAAGGTAACTGCTATTCTGACTTTTATAAACATCAATTCGTTTTTCCTGAACTTGAACTTTGTATAAATATGTATTATGCTATGTGTGGCTTCTTTCACTCAATATCTGTAAAATGCATTCATGGAGTTGCACGACCTGGTAGCTAGCTATTTTTCATGGCTGTCGAGTATTCCATTGTATGAATGACCACCAACGCATTATGCGGTTTCCCTTCTCTGGTTCCCATGAAGAATGCTGCTATGAACATTTGTGCACAGGTCTTTTTCTGGACAAATGCGCTCATTTCTTTTGGGTATTTAGGAGTGGAATTTCTAGGTCATTCAGTAGGTGCACGTTGAACCACTTCACACTTGTATCAGCAATGGGTTAGAATTTCCTTTGTGTCCCGTTCTCGTCAATGCTTTACCCTGGCAGTCCTCCTAATTTGAACCATTCTGGTGGGTGGTGATGGTATCTAATTGTGGTTCTGTTTGCATTTCCCTGCCAACTAGCGATGCTGAGCACCTCACTGGGTTGCTGGCCACTGGGATGACCTCTGCTGTCCCAGGGCTTTGCCATGTCTAATGGGTGTGCCCTGAACTAACCTGTCCCCTTCCTGGCCCTATCTTGTAGCGACTGACAAAGACTGCCTCCTTTCTGCCCACGCAGAAGCTGACCCTCCTCACCAAATCCATGGGCTTCTAGAAACCAGGGAAAGGCAGAGGCCATTATTTCAAGAAATCCACAGGTTTCCACTTTCCTTTGCCTTTGCCCAGCTCCCATTCATCTGGTTCCAATTATAAAAGCCTGTGGATCAGTCTGAGTTAGGCCTTGGGGGTAAGGACTGTCACACAATGAACAAATATAGACCCCTCCTGATTCTTCACCAGGAGACTAAGAGTGCGTGAATGCGTCCCCAAGACATTATTCTCTACCTGTGTGCCCAACGCCTATCCTCGTGGTTACTGGAAGTTAAAACATCATTATTAAAATAGATACATGTTATTTTTCTTAAAAAAATAAAAAAAAGGGGAACTGACCATTTAACTGCCTTCATGTTGGTTGTAGGCAGGGACTCCTAAATCATGAAGTCTAGGGTGGGGTGAAATTCCTGGGGCCTTTTTTTTTTTAAAAAATTCCTTTTTTTACAAGTGTGTTCACAACACTTAGCCTACCAAAAAGAGCAAGAGATCTATGTCTGAGACTCAAGTTCAGATGTGGAGGCATAATATTTTGCTACTCGAGTAGCAAACCCAAGTAGTATTAAACGACAGGTCATCCCTGTAGTTAAACAAACAAACAAACCTAGTTGTACAAGGACAGAATCGTAAGGAGGGAGGCATGACTTAATGGCAACATGAATGGCAGCAATGGGAAGGGGTCATGATTCTAGCTTAATAGGAATCAACAGAGAATTGTACCTGGAAAAATATCTAAAGTTACCTGAGGTTGTATTAAGAGAGGCATAGATTACAACACAAAGGTGGTGATGGATCCACGTGCTGAGAGAGATAAGCTGGAAAATGGGGAGGACTGGAACCATGTTACATCAGGGAGGGTGGGAGGTTCTAAGGATGTTTAAGTTCAAGGAGAAAATCAGGGAGTGGTGATGTTCAAAGGGTTGTCACTTGGAAGAGGCAATTAAAAACAACTCAAGCAGGGGCTGAACATTATAGAGGGAATAAAGATACAGAAAGAAGGGGCTGAGGAGGTGGACTAACTGACCCCTGATAATCTACACAGTCCCACTTTTGCAGTCTAGACTCAGATTTGGGTGGGAATTCCTGTTCTGCCCTCATATTAGCTTTGCGGCTTTGGGAAAATTACTTTGCCTCTCTGATAAATTGGAAATCTCATCATCTGCTTCAGAAGGTCCTTAAGAGGATTAAGGCTGTACCATAGGTAAAACATCCCGCACCTGCCCCGCCCTCAGCAGCTGGACAGACCAGCTCAAAATGACCAGCACCCAGGAGTGAGATGCATGGAAACTGAGGGTTGGTGAAATTTTGTGCCCCTCGGCAACTCACTGCAGTGGCTCTGGGTGAGGACAGCCAGGTGTAGCCTTGGAGTGAAGGAAAACCCCTCACACGCCCTCCCCCCATGCACCCACCCTCTACAAACCCCCTCTCAGCTGCTCTGTCCTCTCCGATGAATGAACGAGAGCATCTGTCCCGTAAGCACTAGAATCTACCATGGCTTAATTGCAGCTTTGCAAACATCTCTAACATTTTGGAATTAAAATGACTGAACATTCTAACGAGACCCAGGGTCTTAAGAAAAAACTTTGAAACTGGGCATTTGGGTTTTTTTTTTCCCTCCTCCCACTCCCATTCCCTGATGAATTTACCCCAAGATATGGCTTAGCCTCCACGCATAGCTTATGAGTTGTGTGTCACTGAAATTTTTAGAGCTATAAGCATCCTGCCAAACATTCTCAGAGAAACTGAGGCCCAGGAAGATTAAGCGAGTTAGTGGCTAAAGTGAGATTAAAACTCAATGTCCTCTTCTGAGCCTGGCCTCTCTGGATCCCCATGCTACCTGCCAGGGCACTCAGTCCCAGCCTGGGGGTGGGGGTGGTGGGCGGAAACAAGGTTTTCCCAGCAGCTGAAAACATCTGGGGGCATGACAATCAATATTTTACCGGTTCATCAAAACCCCCATTATTTCCCTAGTGCATATGGCATGAAAAAGATACTACAAACCCAAATCCTTCAGAGTTGTCCCCACCCCCACTCAATGGGCATAATTATCATGCTCATGAAAAATAACTAGGATTCAGTAAAATTTCACTGATTCCTATTTTACTGACTAGGGTCAAAAGGATTCAGAATGATGCAAAATTTGCAATGTTTCTCCTTCTTACTACACCTTCCACAGGGAGGACGTATTATGTACGAAAGCAGAAATGTTCACATTGCAGAACTTTTAAGCCCTGGGCGATGTCATTTCTCCATACCTCTGACGTGCTAACTATGGATTATTAGTTATTAAGGTTTCAAGCTGAGAACTACCTGGGTGTGAGAATAAGGACTTAAAACTCCGATATGCACATATGTGGCAAAGACTGGAAGAAATTTAACCCTAACCCTAACAATTAGAGCCTGGGCATCTCTGCTAAACTGTCTGGACATGAAATAACATTAAAACAGATTTTCTTTTTCCCCCCAAAATGAGTAAGAGGGCACAGACTTCAAGCAGAACAGGAGGGTGCAGAGTGAAAAGGAAAAGTCCCCAGGGGTAAGTGACCTCTGCCAGCCTTCTTGGTTTTCTCCTAGAGTTGTTCTATCCATAGAGAACAGGTGTGTGCTCATCTTTTTTTTGGTCCTCAATAACACTTGAAAGAAGCAACCTGTACTTCCAACTGGCCTTTCTCTAATTAGCTTTCCTTTAGTGCCTGACAAAAGTCTTAGTGGCACATCTTAGAAATCGTATTCGATTGCTCCCTGCCTTGTAACACACCTCTGGATCGGATCGTGTGCTGCCCGCGGTAACGTTTGGGCCTCCTTCCGTAAGCAGGGATGGCAATAAAGGCCAGCCCGGCCGAGGACTTCCTGGTGACCCAACAACAAGCGTTCTCAAAGTGCAGCAACACATCCGAGGCCACTCGCTCTCAGTGCCCTTGACGCAAACTGACCTCATTAATTATGATCCTGCTAGCCATCCGCAGTCGGGTCCTGGGCCCAAACTTATTGGTGATCATGATGCGTAAGCCCGCCTCCGGGAAGCTGAACTTGGGAGGGCTGGAGCTCATGACCTCGTCCACCATCACCACTGGGTTTTTGCTGTACTGAGGCTCCTCCTTCACTATATTGAGCACAAAGCCATGATTAGTGCCGAGATCTCCTGGGGACGACACCCCAGCGCTGGGCCAGCTGACTTCCCCTCATGCTGCAGACCTCCTGGGGCTGTGATCTTGGCCACTGCTGGGGAGCCTGGCTGAGCCCAAGGGGACTGCCTGCCAACGGGGAGTGTTAGCCGAGGCCCCGGGGTCCCATGCTACCGGACCACTCATGAGCAGGCGCTCCATGTCTAGCCCCTACGCGAGGTGACGCCCCCTCTTTTGGGGGCCCATCTTGACTAAGGTCTCTCAGTTCCTCATCTGCGCCTCACTGGGAAGCCCAGCTACAATTAAGACAGGGTCCCTGCCACCTCCCAGCCCATGACTGCGAGGGGACCTTTCTTTCCCTCTGTTGACAGAGGCTCAGATAAAACTTTGGATGTTGACAAGGACTCTCCAGGATGGAAAATGCTAGAAAGCACCAGAGAGGACTGGCTCTCAGCTTCCCACCAGGCTACCTGCTCTGTTTGAACAACCATCTCCACCTGGCAAAGAAGGATGTGTCTAACTGTGCTCTCCCCGAGGCAGGCAGTGAGGGTGAAGATGAGGCTCACAGGTGCTGGACGAGGCAAGAGAGACCCAAGGGGGAGAGCCTACTTGCTGAGGGCTGCTGGCCAAATCCAGTGTCTCTGATAAAACACACACCCTCCAGCAGGAAGGGGACTCTCTCTCACCCTTTGCTCCCCGCCGCCTCCTGCCCCCCGCCCTTGAGGCTGAAGAGTAAATGTCTCCAGGCCTCAGGCCTCTTCCTCGCCACCTTCACAGACTCGCTCAGGGTGGGCATCCTCGGGGGATCTGACATCTAACTCCAGAGCCCTGGGGAGACCAGGAATGGAACCACTCAGGAACACAGCACACAGAAGCAGGTGGAGTCTTCCCCTCCGGGGAGGCTGTCAAAGCAGATAGGCCCATCCCTCTGCCCTGGTCACCAGCTCCTGGTGAGCAGCCTTTCCGGGCAGGAGTGGCCAAGCGCACACCCTCGTGAGAGTTAATGGCACCAACACGAACAAATGCACACCAGACACGCACACCCTCACCAAACAGGCAGCAAGGCTCAGCAGACAGGAGGCGTGGTGGTTAGAAAGGAAGCCAGGAGGCCCATGCATCTGTCGGGGACAGACGCTAACCTCCAAGGAGGCGTGCGCGGAGGCCCTGGTTTGTTTGTTTCTGTAATGCATGGGTTATCGCTTGGATGAAAGCAGATTACTTACAGTTTAGAAGAGAAGAGTTAAGGAGACAAAGGCCGACAGAGATTTGCCAGAGGTGATTAGCGTGCGGTGGACGCCGAGAGTTTGGGGCAGCATTCTTGATGGTGGCCAAGATGCCAGGGGGTTATTTGAAGGAGAAGTTAGTAGAGGGGTTCCTGCTACTGGGGGCTTCAATGCTCGAGTCCCTGCTTGAAGCCAAAGTTGGATCCAGGGCCAAGGCAGCCTGGAAAGGTCCACGGTGAGCCTAGCCGTTAGCCCCAGTAGCCCGGGCTGTCAGGCTGTGTGCAACCAGCAAAGAGAAGCTGGACTCCCCACAGCGGTGGGAAACGGGGCGGGGGGGCGCCCTCCTCCTCTGCCCCGGGGACCTTTTCTTGGGGTACTGTGCTCTGCTTCCTTGAGCAGAACTCAAGTGTGATGTGAAAAATTTCTAAGACTTTTAGAAAAACCCAAACATCTGAACAAAGCTGGAGGATATTATTCCTTCCCACCCTCAAAACAACAACAACAACAACAACAAATTGGCCTGAGAGGATTTGGTAAAAAGAACCGCATGACCTTTAAAGAACATTTAAGTACATAAAGGCATTTTACAAGAGTGGTAGTAACAAGGCCAAACACCTGTGAAGAGGCCAGGTTGAAAATTTTGATCTGACACGGGGAAACACCGAAACCGGGAACAGGCAAAGCCAGAGCTGTGTGTGTGTACGTGGGTTCTTGACAGAATCCACCAGCTACAATCTTGGGCTTCCTCGGGTGGGTGGGAAGATGGGGACCCGCCTGCAGGCCGAGGAGCAGGGAGGGGAGCTCTGTATTGGAAAGATTCATGACAACATCACCGCTAGGAGAGGCAAACTGCTGAGGCCCCCTTCTCAGTTCCTGCAGGGTTCCTGGGAGCTCCTTCCTCAGTCTATTTCTGGGGGGACAGCGCTTTGCGGTGACTTACACACAGGGCCCTCCACCAGCCAGGGCTACAAAATCCTGAAAGCCGCATCTCTGGGACTCCTACCTCTCCACTTCCAGTCCTGCAGCCTCCCCCCGCCAGATCTTTTTCTCCCTGGCCTTTATCTAAATGCCTTCTCCCTGATAAAACTTGGAGGGAGGCCTATCTTCCTCCTTTTCCTGTGTTTGGGTCGGGGGGAGGTTGGGCAGCCTTGTGTCTAATCTTCTAATTTTCTAGAAATTTTCCTGGACTTAGATATCTGGGAGAAAATAAGAGACCTGTGCGGGAGGTCCTACTGTCCTGGGTACCAAAGTTGTGGAGACAGCACCAGGACAGAGCTGTAGGAGAGGTCCCGCATGAGGCCACTACCCACGCAGCTGTAGGCGAGTAAGGGATGCTTCCCGTGGGACCCTAGGGAGGGGCCTCCTCCATCGGCCACACAGGTGGTAGGTAGCTCTTGGGGCACCTGAGGAATGACCTTCTTTGCCGTGAAGGTCCTCAGGGCCCCGGAGCACTAATCTCTGGGTACAAGACTGGGCAGGACTCAGCCCCCGTCCTGAGACATTGTGTGTGGGGATGTGCGGTTGGGACCTCGGGGCCACTGTTAATCTGTGGAGCTAAAACGCAAACCAGCAGCCACATCCATCCCTCCCCTCTGAGGAGGTTGTCCTGGAAATGGGCTCTCCCTTCGGGTAGGCTGCTCGGCATTTTGGCAACAGGACACATGGATACAGCCCCAGGCTCTACAGGCCTCTCTCCTCTGACCATCAGGGACCGGCGTCTGGCAGCCGGGCCGTAACCATGACAACACTGGTACCCCCCCCCACCCCTCCCCCAGTGGGTTTCTTCTTTCTGTAAGGAGAGATTCATTCCTCCCTCAAGCACCTGTGAAGGGGGGTCCCTAAGATGGGACCGAATAAACTTGCCTGACGTCCAGGGGATGGAGGCCCTACCCCAGGGTGAGGGGTGTGAGGGGTGGATCAGGGTAGGGGCTCCATCCCCTGGACGTCAGGCAAGTTTATTCTGTGAGGGGCCAAGGAGGACAGATTTCAGCCCCCACACGTCCCAGGCCCCTGAGACCACCTGGGCTGTCCCAGACACCATGAAGGAGTTCAGGTCGCCTGAAAGAGGACGTGGCTCGCCCGGGGCCACGGGGAGCATGGGAGAAAGACCCTCACGTGGCCCATCCACCTGTCTGCTGCTGAAGAGGAATTAGGAACAGCCGCATCTGTTTTTCCTCGACCCTCAGTACAAGAACCTATTCAGGCCCTAACACTCCCTGGGGGCTTGGGTGGGGAAGAACAGAAACGTGCCCCTCTTGCTGGCAGCTCCCCCCGCCCCGCCCCCACACCGGGGAATCACTGAGTAACTGGAGGGATTAAGATGCGGTTTCCAAAGCAGCAGCTGGTCTGGCCTAGCGGATTGGGGGACCTCTGCAGACACAACACGCACTCGCTCTGCAGGCCCAAAACCCCAGGCAAGGGGGCCAAAGAGAAGCCGAGGACACAAGGCTGCAGGCCCTGGGCCAGGGCTCCCAAGCAGGGCTCTCGGGGGCCAGTCTGGGCATTCCTGCTCAGCTCCGTGGCTGCCCTCCCGGGCTTTGCCATTCCTCTGGGTGACAAGCCAGAGGTCTCTCCAGAACGGAGTTCTCCGCCAGAGCTGGGCCCGGCGTGTGAGAAATCACAGGGAGACCCGCGCCTGCTCTGTCACCCCAAGTCCTCAGCCTCCTGCCACTGGCCTTTTACAAGGGTCAGAGAGGTAACTCACTGCGTTTCGGAGGGCTCTGAGCCCAGCAGGCCTGGAGCCTTCCTCGGGAGGCTTGGGGAAAAGTCCCCAGGGCGTGACTGTTGACTCTTGGTTCTTCTCCCTTCTATGCAAATGCAAATCTGAGCCACCTCTCCTCAGGGGCCAAAGGTAAGAGAGGGACAATTTTGGGGGGTGGCGTGGGCAGGAACAAGAAGGGGAGAGCAGTTTCAGTGACGTGGTTGGGGCGGCTCCTGTCTGCTCAGCCTTACCTTGCCCCAGCAATGGCATGGAGGGGTCATCAGAACTGCTATCACAGTAATCATTACCATCCTCCAGCTCACTGTTGACCGTGTTGCCATTGGCAACGGCCTTTTGTTTGATGGTGAAAAAGGCCTGCATCTTCACATTGTACCTGCAAGTGAAGGCCAGAGGTCAGAGCTTCGGGAGACACCTGGCCGCAGTGGGCAGGTATCCCCACCCCCCAGCCCATGCACACACAGGCGGAAGACCCTGGGAGTGGCCCGTGGAGCTGACAGTCCCCTAACAGGACCCCAGGGAGGGGTGGGGGTGGCATAAGGAACCTCTGGTCCAAGAACACGACCCATGCCTACTTATGCCCGTCCCAAGCCTGTCCTCATAAAGGAAGTTCAGGCCAGCGTCAAGGGCAGGCTCCAAAGAGGTGTCACCAGGCTGGTCCTCCCTCCCACAGCTGCAGGTCCTGTCCCCATGGGCTGCCCGGCAGGCCATGCCTGCACCCCTCCTAGCCAGGCACACCCCCCACCCCCCCAGAAAAGATACCATCTCCAGCTTTGACCCCAGGCTGCCCGCCTCACTGAAAGAGAGCAAACGGTTCACGGGAGGACAAGCCTCCTGCCCTTGGACAGGTGATCACCCATTTTCACAAAATTCTATAAACATTTGATATTAATGTGGGGCTTCAGAGTCTCCTCAAACTCAATGTTGCTTTTAACTCTTTCTGGGGATGTGGACAAGAAGACAAAACCTGAAGAGGACTCAGCTCAAGGGGGTGTTTTTCTTTTTCTTTTTTTTTTTTTTTTAATGTGGAAAAATTGGGGGGACATAAAGTTTGCTATTTTAACTCTTTTTCATTTTTAAGTGTCTAATTCACTGGCATTAATCACAGTTCCAGAACATGTCGGGTGACCGTCAGCATTATTTACTGTCGGGTTGCAGCATCGAGAACAATTCTGTGTGCCCATTCATCAATTAACCAGTGATCGGCCCCTCCCCCAGGCCCCCTGGTAATCTTTAACTTACTATCTCTACGGATTGGACTCTTCTGGCTACCCTGCCTAAGTGGAATCATACTATCTTTGTCCTTTTGCGACTGGCTCCTTTCACTTAGCATGTTTGCAGGGCTCATCCCTGTTGTAACACACGACAGAATTCCCTTCCCTTTTTAGGGCTGAATAATATTCCTCACGGGCTCTTTTGAGATCACGCTCACCCAGGCAGTTTTGGAATTGCTGCTTGGGTGCACATCCCTGACCCACCATCTGCACCTTCCTTCCTGAGTGACGCCCCCTGCAGGTGGCATTGTACGAAGCCTGGCACAGAAGTGAGGCAGCCTGGCTCTTTAAGAAGAGCAGTATTACATGATCGGGAGAGTTACAGCGCCAGTGAGAAAGAGCGGTCACCCGGGGCGGGGAGGAGCCACGGGGAAAGAGGTCTTGCTTGCCATCTGTCTTGGAGCAGCCTCATCCTCCACCCACCAGCCCTGTCTCCTCTGGTCCGGACAGCACCCCCAAACAGTGTCTGAGCACCGCAGCGGGTACCCTCCAGAGAACCGGAACTGGCTGGAATAGATGACAGCTGGTCTGTCATCAATTTTGTCTGGGCTCTAACAAAAGGCTAGAGCAGGAAGCGGAACGAGGCATCAGACTGCCCAGCGGGAGAAGAGAAAAAAGCTACTTACTTCATGATCAGAATGTAAAATGCATACAAGATGATGAGCACCAGTCCTTCCCACCTCAAAGAGAGAACGGAGACTGTGGTTAGGGCTGGGGGTGCCTGGGGCCTGGGACTGACAGCTAGGCAGCAGGGAACAGGGCAGGAGGTCCTTTGACCGTCCCAGGCCCCCGCGCCAGGCATGTAGGGGAGCCCCCCCAGCCTGTGGCCAGCTGCCATGTGAAGCCCTCTTGGGGACAGAGAAGGTAAGGGTGGGTTCTTCTCAGAGACAGGGGATCTGCAGGGCTCAGGCAGCATTCCCACAGGTACCTAGAAAACAGAGGGACCAGGACCACCCCATCCAAGGATCCACAGTGGGGAGTGACCTGGAGTCATACCAAATTGGCCCTAAGAGACCTGTAAGCTCACCCGAGATTCTGGCCTGGGACCAAAAAGGCTGTGGGTACAGGTGGGAAAGGGCCCAAAGAACTGTCTGGAGAAAGGGGCCAGCACAGGAGCCTGCAGGGCTGAGCACTGGGGCAGGGCGGGGCGGGGGCCTTCCTGGGATGCACATCCAGCTATCCAGCAGATGAGGCGCCCAACCCCCCACGCGGCCAGGATCTTTGCAGCTCAGACCACAAGCCTCTGAGGAGCTACCCAGCTTAATTTGTCTGGTCATCTGACAAACGTGTGCTGAAGGCCTACTATGTGCCAGGCACGAGCTACGGTTGTTTCAGGAACTCTCCCTCTGCTGACAGAAGCTGCAGCCCAGCAGAGCTACGGAGAGACTTGTAGATGACCCCACTACCGCCACCCCCACTCCACCTAGGCAAAGGAGACCCCCGATGAGGAGAGGCTGCCTGGCTCACATGGTGGGTTAGGGGCCGGGGAGCGGGGGGTGAAAACAAGTTTCTCTGGGCCCATAGCACCTGGCTGCTCAGCAAGGCCTCCTGAGCACATTCCCACAAATAGACACCGATGGGATGCGGACTCGGAATCACTGTCATGAAGAGAACATTTCTATGGCCTATGGATGTAGGATACACGTATACAGTGAATACACCCATCTTTCCTTTCAAGTTTCTGCTTTATGTATCTTAATTAAGGAATCATTTCCTATCTCGAGGTCATAAAGGTGAGTCCTGACATTTTATTCTGTTTAACTTTGCTTTTTACAGTGAAAGCTTTAGTGCTTTTTAAAAAGATTTTATTTGAGAGAGAGAGAGAGCGAGCGAGCGAGCAAGCACAAGTGCAGGGAAGAGGGAGAGAGAGAAGAGACTCCCCACTGAGTAGGGAGCCCAACACGGGACTTGATCCCAGGACCCTGAAATCATGACCTGAGCTGAAGGCAGATACTTAACCAACTGAGCCACCCACGCGCCCCTACAGTGAGATCTTTAATTCATCTGGATTCTCTTCTTGTATAAGGTGTGAGGAAGGGATCTGACGTTATTTTGTTCTGTATAGATCCCTAGTTTCTCCAGCAGTATCTGAGACCCTCTCCCTAACTCACTGCCTGTCGTGACACCTGTCATACCCCCGGCCAAGAAATGGGCCCATGACTGGGTTCTTGGTTCCACAGTCCATTTTGGCCTATGTTTATCCCAGTGGAAAAATGCCATACCGTTTTCATTATTTTACCTTTATAATATACTTTGTTATTTGGTAGAGCAGGAACACTGAGGGAAACAATCTTTGTCACTTTGAAAGGATAAAGGTGCGACTGCTTAGAATGATGCTTTTTACTTTCACAAGTGCATAAGCTCATGTTTGTAAAAATAATCTCAAAAAAGTTTCAACGAACCCAAAGAGGAAGGATAGGACCAAAAAAGGAACAAGAAACAAACGTTTAAAACTTACCACACAATTTCTTCATCATATATGAACTGGAAGGCAAAAGAAACAAAGGGTGGGGGACATATTTATTCCAAAAGAACACACACAGACCCTTAAGCACTCAGAGCTCACACACAGTGCCTTGTTATTTTTACACAAAGCTGGGCTCCTCTCTCCATTTCTGGGTTTCTCAGTGGCAGGTGACCTCTCCTTAGTCGAAACCCATCCCAGCAGATGCGACCGTGTGTGTGGCTCCAGGTTAGCGTGGGCCTTCCAAGAGAAATGGCCCATGCTTCATTACGCTCCAGGTCACGGATGGGGCCAGCCTGGCAGACGCACAGACTTGCTGAAATCAACACTCTTAAAAACTGAAAGACACCCATCTGTTTGTCTCCCTACAGTACCTACCTATCTATGGTACTCGTGTATATGGGAGGGAAGGGATTTTTTTTTTTTTTTAAGATTTTATTTATTTGAGAGAGAGTTAGAGCATGAGCAGGGGGGAGGGGCAGAAGGAGAAGCAGACTGCCCACTGAGCAGGGAGTCCAACTCAAGGCTCGATCTCAGGACCCTGGGATCATGATCTGATCTGAAGGCAGATGCTTAACTGACTGAGCCACCCAGGTGCTCCAAGGGATATTATTTTCTTTAAATAGAGAGTAACCTCTTTGGAGATTCTAAGGGCAAAGGACCCACTTGTACTATTTGAAGGGAGCCCCGGGCTGATGGTGGGGAGGCACAGTTTCTGCAGAGGGCACAGTCCTTGCCCCACAACCCCACCCAGAATCTTGGGCACAGACACAGGTGAATGATGCCTCTGTGGTCCAGGGGAGGAGTCCTGGGAGCACCACCAGCCAGGCCCAGTGTGGACAGGAAGGTAGAAGGCTACACCCACCAACTGATCTTGGAGACCAAGGGGCCCTGCATAGGATGCGAGGAGAAGCCAGGGGACCCACGGTGCCCCTTTCCTGGCTGTCATGGCGGGCAGCACACATGGGAGCTGCCATGGGGAGGCCATTTCTGAGAGGGGTCATCTTGGCTGGGCATCACCGTGAGGCTCCCCAAACTCCAGGCTCTGGGGGAAGTAGCACTCAACAGAGAGATGCCCAGTGCCCGCCGTGGGGAACGTGAGGACATTTGAGGGGGATATTTTTAGTTTATACAGCCCAGTGGAGGGCTACTGGCATTTAGAGGCAGGGTGCTGGCCAGGTGCTGACCAAGCTAGAACATGTGAAATACGTCTATCAGAAGGTTTTCCCACATGTGGCACACATCTTATTTAAATGTCTGGCTAAATATTTAGGCAAGTGGCGGGGCGGCGGGGAGGAGGGAGACCTGAGCCCAAAACTTAACTCCACTGTACAAATCAAAGTACTTTTACACAGTTTTAATAAATATGTAATTCTCCAGTGAGGTAGCTATCATGCAAATGGAGGGGCAGGGGGACTTGGCTCTGCCTAGCGGTTTATCCGGGGTCATTCATAATTTTGGAAAATCATGTCATCAATGTCGGCACCACTCACGGGGTCCAAGGTGCCCGCCCCGCACCGGGCCTTCAGTCTGTGCAGGTAGATTTCAGGCTCAGAGATTTTTCCATATGGGGGCAACGGGTTACATCATCTGGGGTTCTAGCATCTTCTTGCCAAAACATTTACACACTGAAAGATGTATTCTTTTATTATAAATGACTTTTGTCTTTGATAGTTTGGGCATCATATTGATTCTTTTTTTTTTTTTGAAACCGTGTACAGGTGAATTATTTTATCTATAACTTTCGTTTTCAGGATTGTGGTAGGCAGGGGTCCCAGTAACCCTCTGCCTGACATGCATGCCACTGCACCTGTATCTACAGCCTGGACCTAGGGACTGGCTTCTAACAAACAGAATATGGCAAAAGTGATGGGTTATCACCTCCTAGATTAGGTTACAGACTCGCTTCCACCCTGGCACCTTCTCACCCTTGCTCTGAGGAAAGCCAGTTAGCGTGGTGAGCACTGTACTGAGGAGCGGCTGGCCAGGAAGGACTGGAGGAGGCCTATCTGCAGCCCCACCAGGGATCCCCAAAGCGGATCCTCTCCCAGGGGAGTTGTATACCCTGGCCAACATCTGTGAGAAGCCCTGAAGCAGAGGACGCAGGTAAGTCACCCCCAGATTCTGATCCATAGACAACAAGAGCGAGAAATACTTGCTGGTTTAGGCTGCTGAGTTTGGGGGAAATTGGTTACGCAGCAATAGAGGATTCATACAAGGGATGGGACTGCCCTATACAGTTGGCTCTAGATCTTGTAAGGTTGAGAACGGTCTCTCTGGGGCACATTCCAGAAAATCTGGGCACACCATGTGCCTCTGCCCTCATGCCACCGCTTGAGTTGAAATGGCTCCCCTGTGGATGGCACACTCCTCAGCAGTAGCCTGCGTCATATGCTTCAATGTCATGTGCCATGATGTCACCCTAGCCCTCGGGGGACCACAGGGGTAATCCCCCTCTTCCCCCCCATACTAACAGACCCTAGAAATCTCTGTTCCAGCTCTTCTGCCTTTCTGCTGTTCTCCCAGGTGCCCACAATGCCTGCCTCTAACCAGCCTCTCTCTCTCCTGCTCTGCAGTAAGCGGTGAACCCAGAAACTCTGCTTCTCAGGCATCGGGCTCTAAGTGAGGCTCTGAGGGCCCCTGAGGAGCAAAGTGCTTGAACTTAACCGCTCGGACCATGTGACACATGCTTTGACGTTTCCAAGGCCTTTTTGAATTCAAGGTGGTCCCTGGATTTGCTCCATAACCAGGGTGTCAGGTATGAGGTTTTCAGGCAGGGGAGGCACAGTGGCAAGGGGATGGATCAATTATGGCACTGGGGACAGAGACAGGCAGGGGTCCTGTGCCCGCACACGGGCAGGGGGTAACTCACAGCAATGAGCACGATGACAGAGAGGGTGTAGTACACGGAGTCTCGGCACACAGCCCACCACGTCAGACGGACCACCTGCCAAGCAAAGGGCTGTCAGCTGCTGCTGGTTGGGGAGACTGGGGCGGGGGGTTGGTGCGGGGAGTGGCTTTCTCGCCGCCCCCTGAGCCCTGCAGGTGCAGGGATGTGCCCATGGAGCTCCTCCTAACTGTGCCACCAGAAACAAATCTTTCCTGGCTGCTCAAGGCCGCCCAGTGTTCTTCACTATATTTGGGGAACAGAACAAAAGTACAGAATGTTTGTAAGTGATGGCCAAGCTCCTTCAAGGTAACAGCTCATATCTCACAGCAGAAGCCCAAGGTCAAGGCAGAGGCCAGAAGTACTTGCTTTCCCCCTGATGCTGGAAGCTTCTGGTGGTAAACTAGCCGCACACCTCTACCTCCCTTGGCCAGGTAGGGCCTACTCATGAGTCTCACTCTCTGAGGGTGAGTCTAATGTCCCCACAGCCCTGACGACCAGGAAGATGCTGATGGGGTATCAGCAACAGGTCAGCTTCATGCTCCTTGCTAAGGAGGCCAAAGGCAGGGCTCAGATATTTCCAGAATCTAGCTCAGGGTCAGGGTTATAGGAGGTGCTTCTCAAAGATCTACTGCTACTGAGTGAACGCTCACCCTCGGCCCGGACAGCAGAGCCGACACTGTCCTGCCCTCGGATCCACTGGTGCGGGATGTGGAAGGAACGTCAGACGCCACTTGTACCCGTGAGGACCTGGGCTCGGAAGGGGAAGCTGACTTGCTCAGCCTCATTCAGTCGAGGGCGCATCTAAGGGGCGGCCCTGGGTTCCCCCACTGCTGTCCCTTAGATCACTCTACGAAGGGAGACAAACCACTGACCTGCCCCGCAAATAATCCACAAACGCCAATTATGCACAAGATGTTGAACACAGCAGAGCCCACGATGGTTCCAACTCCAACGTCTCCGTGGGTGATGAACACGCCTGGAACGGGAAAGGTGGAAATCCTCCTGGGCCTGCCCTGCCCCTGACCCAGGCTGCTGTGAGGTCTGTGTCACCAGCCCCATGGATGGAGGGAGTTGTTCTTACCACCACAATGCCTGTGGGGCTGAGGGGGACGGCAAAACCAGAGAGGAGACAGTGTCCTGGGGACCAGCTACTCCACTCCCCGTTTTTTTTTTAAATAGCTTTATCGAGATATAATTCACATGCCATAAAACTCACCCACTTGAAGTATATAATCCAGTTTTTTTGGTATAGTCCCAGAATTGTGCAACCGTCACCGCAATCTAATTTTAGAACATTCTTATCACCCCCAAAAGGAACCCTCTCCCCACCCACTCTTCACTCCACCACATGCCCCAGGGAACCGCTACCTTCTGTCTCCCCAGCTCTCCCGTTCTATAGTTGAGAAAACAGAGGCTCCGAGCTGAAAAATGCCCTCACTGGTCAGGTGAGGGGGGGTCTAGACCCTGGGTCCCTGGCCGGTGGGATTTCTTACCAATAACGGAGGCAAACAGCTCGGGCGTTGAGCTTCCTGCAGCCATGAAGGTGGCTCCAGCGACGTCTTCACTCAGATGGAGCTTCTGAAACGGAAGTGACCACAGACACTCAGGCTGGGAGGTGGGGACAGCGGACACACTCAGCGGACACTCCTGCGGCCCCAGAAAGCGTGGGGAAACTGCTGTGGCCTGAGCGGGCCGTGTCGCCTCCCGGCACCCCAAGCACACACCTCCCGCTACTCTGTTGGCCACCCCACCCGGAGTCCCCTGTCCCCTTCCCCTGTCAGTTTCTGCTCACTCTCCAAGCCCCTAAATGAGGTCTCCTCTCTAGGGGTACACCCAGAGACACCTGTCCCCTGGGACAGGTGAGAGAGTCTGGTCCTCCAATTAACGAAGCACAGATCACCCAATGAGGGTCTGAGGATTATGCCCTTGCCTTCCCCACCGGACGATGAGGACAGGTTGGCCTTTTGTTCAGCCTTGGGCTGCCAGCACCTAACACAGAGTCTGGTACGCAGTGGTGCTCAGCAAGGAGCCACCTGCAGGGCCCACGCAGACCCTGGGTACCACGCAGACTTCTCCAGGAACCTGGAGGTCCCAGATGCACAGTCTGGCCCTTGCATTCCAGAAGGCCTTCTCCATGGCAGACCCAATGCACAGCTGCTCACGGAGACGAAGACCCAGACACCCTCTCTCAGGGGATGAGGCAGCATGAGGTAGGGCTGGAGCTCTGTCAAGACACACTCTGCTTGGCAAGGCCGTGCTCCAGCCACAGAGGCCAATCCTCTGATCAAGAATGTGGTGCCGGGGGCTTTGGATGTTGGGAGAAACCACAAAGATTCTGGATCTCCCTGAACACCAACCTGAAGGCACCTTCTCTGTGGTGCTCAGAAGGCGTCTGGGCAGGGCTCGGTCTCCTCCTGCATCCACCTTCCAAAGTACCCTGGGCAGCCTGGGGTTAGCACAACCTCCCTGCTGACCTTGCTATAGGAAGGGGTCCCTCAGAGGGGTCGGAGCTCTGGACTTCTGTCAAGCGCTGACCCCCCAGGGCAGAAGCCTGGCCACCCTAACCTCATCAACCAGGAGAGGGTTCCACAGAAGATGATCTGCCATCAAAGCATCTCCAGTATCTTCTAGCACAATACAAACCATGCTACATCCTGTTCTGTCTTTGCCTGGGCTACTCCTTCCTCCTGGAACACCCTTCCCTGCCCTCTCTGCTTGGAGAAATCCTCACCACTGCGCAACCTTGGACCAAATACCACTTCCTCCATGAAGCCCTCCTAGGCTTCTCCCCAACAGAGACACTGCATCCCTCCTTTAGGCTCTTCAGTCCTTTGATGGCTCTCACTGAGCCCCTTCTAGGGGATTTGCCCATAGATCCAGGAAAATCCCCTCGCTCACGTCTGTGTCCTTACAGAGACAGGTAACCTGGAGGGGCACTTCCACTGGGCACTGTCCTGTGCATTGGTCGCCCATCCCCAGAGGACATTTCCTGATTCTCTCCTTACGCTCTTTGGCCGGCTCAACTTACTCATTGACCCACCGTTCGGTCTGAGCCGGTGAGAGGTGGAGAGGTGAGCAAAGAGAGACAGGGGGAGGGGAAGGCCTTTGCACACCTCTGTCACATCCCTCACTCTTCAGGAGGCCCAGGTCAAAAAGTCCCTCTTCTGTGCTTAGCAGCATGGAAGCACCTGTCCTAACCAGCTCTGTCTCCGGCTGCAGATGTCACAACAACAACATGGCCTCAAACAGCTGAGAGATTTCACAGGGACAAAGTGTGCCAAAGCCCAGAGCCATCTGCACATAGTAGGTGCTGGAAACAGAGGTAGTTTTCCTTCCTTGGTTAGAAGCCAAGGGTAAGGCAGAGCAGAGAGACACACTGGAGCCTTTTTTTTTTTTTTAAGATTTTATTTTTAAGTAATCTCTACACTCAACGTGGGGCTCGAACCCACACCCCCAAGATCAAGAGTTACATGCTCTACCAACTGAGCCAGCCAAGCGCCCCAGCACTGGAGTCTTGCATGTGAGGAGAGAGAAGACAAGAAAGTCAAAAGTTCACAAAACAATTAGGAGAAAATGTCAGCCTGCAAACATTGGACCAAAGGGTATTCCCTGCTCAGCCTCGGCACCCTCCTCCAAGACACAGATCCCCACCTGTACCTGCCACCTGCTGCTTCGGGAAGCCAGAGGTTCTGGGTGCTGACTGCCCACCAGGAGCCTTTCTTCTGCCAAATCGGGGAGAGGACATCCTCTGCCAACTCTACTCTAGGGCTTTCAAAGCCAGGCTTTGCCGTGGCCCAATCACCACCAGAGTGCTCCCTGCTTGGTCCTTCTCAGTCTGGCCCTGACGTGTCCTATGTCCTGGGTCGCGCCAGGTCCCCTGCCTCCCTGCCCGGCTTTGCTGTGGGATCCCAAGTCCCCTCTACATACCTCGCAGATCTTCTCTAGAGACGGAACAAAAAAGTCATCGCAGACTATGGCCAAGGCGTAGAACATGTACAGAGCCTGAGGAGGAAATGGGGGAGATCGTCAGCGAAGGCACCTGCTGCCGAGGAGGCACGGCTGGCCAGCTGTCGTGCCCCGAACCGGGCAGCCATCACCTGGCCAAGGCAGAGGCTAGATGCACGGAGAGAGACACAGAGGAAAATTCCAACACCAGAGAGACTTGCTCCCTCAATCCCCTCACGAGCAGACGGGGAAACTGAGTCCCAGGGAAGGGAAATAACGTGCTGGGCAGCAAAGGGGATGAGAGCTCAGGCCACGTGGTCTTGGGCTCCTTCCTCTCTTTGTAAAGCACCAGCTCTCTCCCCGGCACCAGAGTCTGCTCTTGAAAGGCCAGATCTAACACTCAGGGCTAAGAAGGAAAGCATTTAGAATCACCATTTTAAGAGTTTAAAATGAGAACAAGCCTGATCTTCCCCCTTCATTTTTAGTGGAGGCACCATTTCCTTCTTACCACCCGGCCACCCCCTTCTGGAATGAATGGCAGCTGGAGAGCCAGCAATTTCTGGAATGCTACCTAATGTTGGCAAAGGTTAAAATACACAAGCCATTCACACATGGAGGTTCATGGAACGAAGAGTCCAGATTCTACTGCTGATTCTAGGACTGATTTGCCATGTGACTTTGGATAAGTCACATCTCCAGGGCTCAGTCTCTTCATCTATCTGATGACAGAGTAAGAACAGATCAGTAGTTTTCAAATGGTTTTATATACAGAACCCCTCCCTGTCCTGTTCATCCAACATGGTTTCACTGAGCTCATCCTATGGGCCAGGCGCTATTCTAGGCATCAGGGATCCATGGCTAACCTGCCAGGAAATGCCTCTGCATCCTGTAACTGACCTTAGTGGGGCAAATAGGCAAATAACGTGTAACTGTTGGGGAAAGGCCAGTGCAAAGGTCCTGAGGTAGGAGTGTGCTTGATGCCCTTGAGGAACAGCAAGGTGACTAATGCAGGTAGACCAGAGTGAGACTGAAGTGGAAAATAGAGGATATGAGGTTGGAGGGACGGGCCAGGACCAGAGCCCATGGACAGATGGGACTTTGTGTGCTAAATGCCGAGGGAAGCATTTCTTTCTTCAAAGACAAAGTGATATGGATGCTCTGTTCACAAAAATGGGAAGGGCTGGGCTGCTTCAGCAAAAACAATTGTGAAGTTGTTGGAGTAGCACACTAATGAATTGTGATTAAATAAACTGGAAGATGTATCAGCTGTGGCCAAGGCCTCTAAGGCAGGTGTCTACTGCAGTCCAGGCACGTCTGTCCCTGGATCTGACTCACTACCTTTTGGCGGGGGGGAGCAAAAAGAAACAAATACTGGGGGTTATGGGTGAAGGAGAGAGAACGAGGGGAGAGAGATCCTGCTATAAAAATCTCAGGATACAGACTTGAATTCACACCCCCAGAAGCTCCCCCAACATCATCTTCCAGGCAAAGGGAGGCCATAGCTCTCTTCATGGCCTTGGAAACACTTGAGAGAAAAGGAGGCCAAGATGGTTCCACACTGCTCTGGCAGGGCAACTGAGAAGCTTCCTAGCACTGCAGACAAAAATGGCTCCAGGGGCGCCTGGG